TCTTCAAGTTGAACTTGCATATGAGCACTTGATGGTCGGTTCCACAATCAGCTCCTGGGTCTTCTTTTGGCTAAAGATATTGAGCTTTTCCATTGTCTCTTGCCACAGATGTAGTCAATATGATTCCTATGTACTCCATCTGGTGAAGTCCCCATGTATAGCCACTGTTTGTGTTGTTGAAAAAGTATTTGCAATGAATGTTGTTGGTCTTGCAATATTCAATCATGTAATCTCCAGCATTATTTCTGTCACCAAGGCCAAATGTTCCAACTATTGGTGATTCTTGTTTCCAACTTTTGCATTCCAGTCACCAGTAATATTTAACACACCTTGATTGCATGTTCAGTCAATTTCAGACTCAGAAGTTGACAAAAATCTTCAATTTCCTCATCTTTGGTTTTCGTGGTTGGTGCATAAATTTGAATAGTAGTAGTATTAATTGGTCTTCCTCATAGGCATATGGATATCATCCTATCACCGACAGCATTATACTTCAGGAAAGATCTTGAAACATCTTTTGTGATAAGGCATGCCACCAAATTCCTCCTCAAATTGTCATTTCCAGCATAGTAGCTGATATGTATGGTTGTCTAATTCAAAATGGACAAAACTGGTCCATTTCAGCTAATACCTAGGATATCAATCTTTATGCATTCCATTTAATTTTTGACAACTTCCATACCAGTGGGAGCTCTGGTGGCATAGTGCTTAAGGCAACTGACTGCTAACCAGAAGGCTAGTTGTTCAAACCCACCAGCCACTCCTCAGAAGGAAGGTTTGGGCAATCTACTTCCATAGTGATACTGCCTCGGAAACCCAAGGAGGGGTTGCTATGAGTCGGATCTGATTCAATGGGAGGTTTTTTTTTTTTTTTTGGTTCCATACTGGGTGACAAACATGATGACTCTAGGTTTCTTCCTAATAGACACTGCTCATTATATCATCATAAAGATTTGAGTTGTTTTCCCTAGTGACCCTTATTGGAAATCATCTATCATTTTTCTCTGCTATTCATGCTAAAACTTTCCTAAGATTGATCTCCACTGCCCTGGCATTTTACTGCTGGAAAGAGCATATGAACAAAACTGAAGATTTCATCATGTGCTTTAACAGATCATTTCTGACATACTTGTTTCAATGTCAATTCTTGAAAGACAACATTGTTAATACTTCTCCATGTAGATTATTATCTATTTACTTTCTCTACCTGGATTCACCCTAAAATCCTTTCTTTTTAACATTAATATTCTGTGAGGTAGAATCTTGTCAAGGGCATTTGAAAGCCTGAATTTTAGATTTCTTGTTTCCTTATTCAGAATTTCAAAGTGATATAATTGGGCTCTTAAAAGAATTTTTCAGTAGATTAATTATCCCTGATGGGCCCTGAGGTATGAGGAAGAGTTTAATAAATGAGCAAGATAGGAAAAAACAGTCCAGGCAATAGCATCTGCAAGGGTACAGAGGCATTAAAGGACATGGCACATTTGGGAAAACACGATGTGGCCGACAGGGGTAGGAAGGAAAGGCAGGAATAAGATCATAGAGATAAATTGGGGACCAACTGTGAACTATAATGGCTCACGTTATACGGAGCATTTATTACATGGCAGGTGTACTAAGTGCTTTATAAATCTTTCCCTGAATCCTTTAAAAAATGAAATCCTTACCATTATTATTATTATTATTTTTTAAAAAAAGGTAAAATGGAATCCTAAGGTTCGTTAAGTAGCTCTGGTGGTACAGTGGTTAAAGCATTTGGCTGCTAACCAAACGGTCAGCAGTTCAAACCCACTAGTCACTACATGGAAGAAAGATGAGGCTGTTTGCTTGCATGAAGATTTATAGCCTTGGAAACCCAATGGGAGTTCGTTATGAGTCAGAATCGATTTGAAGGCAGTGAGTTTGTGTTTGAGAAGGTTCATTATAGTCTAATCGTCAGACATTTTGATAATGTTTTCCAGAACAGTGGCATACTTTCAACTTGAGTAATTAATCCAGGAACTTCATCCTCCACATACATTCAATCTTTATTCTGTGAAGCTGGAGTGCCATGTTTTTTGTCAGCCCAGCCTCACCCCTTTCCCCTACAATAGTGGCTTGTGAAATGATTTTATTTCCCAAATACACATAAGACTAAAACTGTCTGAAGATACTCAAATGAAGACAATACATATATTCTTTAAAAATCCAAGTTTTAAAGAAAGTAGACAAAAAACGTTTTTTTAAAAATTAGAAAATGTATCACTTTCTTAGCTTACAGCAAAGAATTTGTCTGACCCTAATGACTAGGCTAGAAACAATCCTTTACACAAACTTCCATCATCATCATGATTGTCATTAACATTCCACAGCCAAGTCTACTTGCTGAACAAACCTACCAGCCACTTCTTGGAAGGAAGGTTGGGCAATCTACTTCCGTAGTGATACCGCCTCAGAAACCCAAGGAGGGGTTGCTCTAAGTCGGATCTGACTTGATGGCAGTGTGTTGCGTTGTTTTTGTGTTGTACGTTACCTATGAAGCCCTGGTAGCATAGTGGTTAAAGCATTCGGCTGCTAACCAAAAGGTGGGTGGTTCAAACCCACCAGCTGCTCCATGAGAGAAAGATGGGGCAGTCTTCTTCCATAAAGATTTACAGCCTTGGAAACCCCTATGGGGTCAGTTCTACTGTTCTATAGGATCAGTATGAGTCGGAATCGACTTGATGACTGGTGGCTGGTACATCACCTGTGGCACTTCCTTTATTCATCACAATAAGTCTATCAGGCAAAGATCAGTATTACCTCCCACATTTCAGAAGAGAAAGCTGAAGAGCAACAATGTTCAGGATCCAGGACTGGAATCCTGGCAGTCTGTGAAGAACATGCTTCTCACCTAGATGTGCCATTCTGTCAGGGGGAGGCAGCACTGCCTGGTGTGGAGCGGAAAAAGTGACAGGCAACGTGGGCTCCAATCCCAGGCCTGCCTCTTAACTGGCTGGGAGATCTCAGGCGAGTCTTGTAATATTTCTGGCCTTGGTTTCCTTATTGATAACATGCAAGGCCTGTCTGGTCCCTTTCAAATCCTGCCTGTGAGCCCTGGAGTTTGGAGGCATCACCCTGGGGGCTGGGCAGACTCAGCAGCTTCCCTCCTTCTGTATTAAAACTGACCTTCTGCAGAATTTCATAAGAGCTAACAGTTCTGATGCTTTAAACATTTTGAGACTTCTGAACTTTCTGTTGTAAAATTCTGATTCTATTATCCATCTCATTATCTATTAAGCTCTTAATTAGGTGTGGACTATTTTATCTAAAGGAGCCCTAGTGGCATGGTGGTTAAGTGATCAGCTTCTGATGGAAAGGTGGGTTGTTCAAACCCACCAACCACTCTGCAGGAGAAAGATGTAGCAGTCTGCTCTGTAAAAATTATAGCCTTGGAAACCCTCTGAGGCAGTGTGACTCTGTCCTATAGGGTTGCTATGAGTTGGAATGGACTTAATGGCAATGGGTATTTTTTTGGCTTATGTTTATTTAACCACAAAAATCCCTACACCCAAATGTTCATTTCTCTATAACCTTTCTAGAATGAATTCTTCACTTCTAGAATGCTTCCCTAATGTCCGCTAAATTTTTACCATCAGATAAATTCTCTTACAACCTATTTTCTCCTTATAAAATAACAATTTCCAGCATATTCTAATATGACCCTCTCCTTGCACTGTTTCCCATTTAATTTCATAGTGTTCAGTACAGACAAATAAAGTCTTAAATTGTCTTGAACGGAACCTTACATACTGTATAGGCACTCAAGTGATTGCTGAATCTGGATAACAATAAACTCACTCTTCAAAGATTTAAAAATCAAAGCATCAGACAAAACATCACTCTTCAGAAGACTTCTGTTTTTGAAATACACGACTCTTATAGCACAAAGACAGTATTTACATTTCAAAGTCTTTTTTACAAAGTATGTATGCTATTGAGAAAGAATACTGTTGAAAGCATGATCGAAAGTACTTGTCAGAAAGTTCAAACAGGACCAGAATCTGGTCTCCACAAATCCGTGTACAATGAGAAATAAAATATGGATGAATATCAGGACTTACCATACATAAAAATAACTGTTGATATCAGGGGTCAGCGAACTATGGCCTGTGGCAGCCTGTTCCCCTACCCCCAAATAGCTGTGAGTTAGAAACAGTTTACACATTTTTAAAAGGATTGTTTTAAAAAAAGATTATGCAACAGAGACATATGTGTTCTGCAAAGCCTGACATATTTACTATCTGACCTTTTACAGAAAACATTTGCTGACACTTGCTCTTTATGAAAGGAGCCCTACTGGTGCAATGGTAAAGTGTTCAGCCACTGACCAAAAGGTCAGTGGTTTGAACTGACCAGCCACTTGGCAGGAGAATGATGTGGCAAGCTGATTCCATAAAGGTTACAGACTTGGAAATCCTATGGGGCAGTTCTGCTCTGTCCTACAGGGCCCCTATGAGTCAGAATCGACACATAACAGTTGCAAAAGAGACTGCTACTGGAGTACACTGATGAGTATTAAACAAGCCACCACTGTAATGCATCAGTACTGTCAGCACGACTCATTTCTAAAATGAGGCACTTCTGTTTGAATATGTACATTTCTGTAACATAATTACATCTGGAAAGTAGCACTGCTATTTAACTCTAGCCCTTTGCCGTTTAGGCCTCCACACGAGATCACAGTATTCTTAGGGGCAACAATAAACAAGAACAAGCATTTCAGGTGTAAGTCATTGAGTTCCTCAGTAGTTGGACACCATTTACAATCTTATACATTAATAAAAAAATCCTTAATTTAGATGCTGCTAATAAAAGGTGCTATTACTGCATTTTTTAAATAACATCTATAAAAACATGTTTAGACATCTCAAGTCATTATTCTCAGAATCAAAAATAACTAATTAACTTAGTAGATACTTATTTTAAAAATGGGAAATAGAAAAAGGAGGGAAAAATGGCAAAAGCATAGCCAACGACTTTGGAATGCAAAGGCTGGGGCCCCTCAGCAACTGCCCCCACGCTGACCTGTACTTTTCATATCCAAGTGAGCTTGCAATGGCTGCTACGGGAAACCAGCAGCTGCCTCTCATCAATGAGCTTCTTTATAAAAAGGATGACAAGTCTATGAGAAAACGCTTTTTTAAAAGTACAACCAGTTCAGAGTTGCTGAGCACACGTTTTTAAGGTGCTGGTTGAACAATCCCTGGCCAATGGGCCACCGTCAGGCCACAGAACAAGTACTGTCCTGGGCATCTTCCCTTCCTCGGGCCAAGCTGGCCAAGCTGCGCATCATGAAGACGTACATCCTTGTGGCTCCACATTTTAAAATGCTCAGTAAACACTGAGGTAGGTGATATTCAAAAAGATCTTCTACACCCTGATTCGATCAGGACTAGCTTCTTTGAGTAGCCGCCTTCTGGGAAATATCTTCCGCTTAAGTGCAATTAACTAAATGATGAAAGATAGGAAATAAATGTTAATTCTCCATGTGGACAAAACAGTATGCTGAATTTTCTTTCTGAGAGCCATATGGCCTCATGTATTTCCACAGACATGTATGTTAAAAAAAAAAAAGGCAGACAAACTAGTTCCCATCCATTCCTGCTCCTGAACAAAACCAACCACTAACTCTGCCTGGCTTTGGAGGGTCATTACACTTAGCTATGTAACCACGAGAGACCCAAAACAATCAAATTTTTTTGTCCCAAGCTTCATTTCTTCTAAGACTTACAGTTGGGGTTTTGACACTGTCATTACCATGCATGTTTATTTTCAGGGAGATGTGTGTTGGCCAAGCCTTTCTACTGAAAGGAAACTAAATGCTATTTAGCTATTAAGACACATCTGTGGGTCTGAAAATGACTATGTAACACAGGAGCTAGGAGCTCTGGTGGCATAACGCTAAGGCATCTGACTGCTAATCAGAAGGCTGGAGGTTCAAACCCACCAGCCACTCTTCAGGAGGAAGACTGGGCAATCTACTTCCATAGAGATACCACCTCAGAAACCAAGGAGGGGTTGCTATGAGTTGGAACCGACTTGACGGCACTGAGTTTGGTTTGGTTTGATGTAAAACAGGATTTTTTTATTGTGATTTGGGTGCAGATTTACAGAGCAGATTCACTTTCCATACAGTAGTTTACATACACTTTGTCTCATGACACTGACCACAGTTTACCACAATGCAACAGCTCCCCTCTCACTTCCTCCCCATAGTTACCCCTTCCCAGTATCCATCCCTCCATACACTCCTGCTCCCTGAGCTGTCTCCCAGGATTTTTTTTTTAAACACTATGTTTAACATCCTCTCCATATTCTGTTCTATACTTAACTGTAGCAGTGATCATTTGAAAACATAGGTGATATCTGACATATGGAATGCATTATGATGCAAAAGTTCATTTCTAAATTAGCAGCTCAGAATTTGGATACTTTTTTCTCTCATAGAAAACAGGGCTTCCAACAAGTTTGTTACAGCTCAATCCTCAGGCTGAGAATTTGCATTTCCACCCAGATACACTGATTCAGAATCTACATTTTAATAAAATCCCCAGGTGGAGAGACCTCAGGTGAGCATAGGTGAAAGACCCTCTTGGTTTCTCCCTTATTAGCTGCTCCCCTCTCCTCTCTCTTTAATAAACTTTGGTTTCTGGGGAGAAAATAAATAAGTAAAATCCCCACGTGATTCTAATGTATACATAAGATCTGTAAGAATCTATACGGGTTCCGAGCAAGTGGGAGGAGAGTTGTTGCTTTATGGGAGATTACAGTCAATGTCAGGAGACAAAGTATATGTGAACTGCTGCATGGAAGATGAATTTGCTCTGTAAACTGTCACCCAAATCACAATTAAAAAAAAAAAAAAAAACAACAATCTGTAAGACTCTTTAAGAACCATCTAGACATCTTGTTACAATGTAGGTTCTAATTCAGTATACCTGGGGTAGAAATGCAAATTCTCTTCATGGGGACCGAATTGGAATGAACTGGTTCAAAGCCCTGAGAGTCTACCCACGATACATCTGAAACAGAAAAACTCACCACCATTTTAATAAAGTTTCAATGATGGGGGTGGGGTGGGGAAGGAATGTGTTCTTTATGGTTTCAGTTTGGGGTTGCTATTATTTACCTTGCTTCCCTCTCTCATTGGTGTAGGACTGGCTACTCCTTCCTCCAGAGGGAAAAGCAGGGCTTTGTCCAAGCGTAAGCTACAATGATTTGCATGATGAGCTAGGATCTGGGGGCAGGGGGACAGGCCGTGCTGAGTGGCCTGGAGTGATGGGTGAGGGTGATGGGTGCGGCATGAGTTGGGAGTCTGACTGGAGAAGGTAAAAAGCAGAGTACAGGAGAGAAGAGGAAACGAGATCTTCCTTTCTCCCTGCTACCGACCCCTGGCTCCCTGTTCTCAGCTGGTATAAATGACAGGGATATTCCCTTTCCACTGCCACCGGCTGGTCCTTTGAGCCAGAGTCCCTCTCCATTCCAGGCCAGCCTACAGCAGACTCGCAGGTTCCTCAGTGGACCCCTGTTTTAAAAGCCAGCACACACTCTCAAAGACTTTTCCCCCCTAAGAGTTTTACCTACTGGGAAGAATGGCAAAAAAAAAAACATCACAAATAGGATTTCTATTCCTTGGGAAACAGAGGAAGGCTAAGATGCAGTCCTGCTTGCCCACCCAGTCTCCATTTCCTCCCCTCCACTGTGGAAAGCTTTTTCCTAAAGCTCTCAGTACCTGACCCTCCTCCTCCATGGTGTAAGCTGTCTGACTCCCCCGAGTCACAGATGGAAAAGCCCCACTCAATGTACATCTTGAGTGGGGGCCCAGGAGAGGCTCAGGCCCTAAGTCAGGTCAGCCCAGGCCCTCGTTCCTTTCCTCCTTTAATCCTTTTTCCTTCGGAGCATTTTATTCCTGCAGTCACTAAGGGATTCTCTTATCTCTTTCTTTTTACCTCACAAATCTTCCTCTGACCAACTCAAGCCTTCTCCCTGCTCATGGGCCTTCATCTTTAGAAGGCCGTATGTGGTGGAGGAAATGGGGAGAGCAGGAGGCTAGACATCTGACAGCCGAGAGAAGCAGAGAGCATCCCCAGTAATTCCCAGGAAAGGAGACAGGGAAACTGCTGTGTGCATCACATGCCATGTCCACAGAATGGTGTAAGATCGGAGGACAAAACACTGCAGTCATTTTTGGAAAGAAAGAAAATGGGAGATGCATAAAAAATTGTCATCAGATGAGGATTTTAAGTGGGTTCTTGGTGAAAAATACTTAGACCTTTTTTGTTTTAGCTTGAGACTTGTAAATTATCATGGAGTTCCAGGTAAAAAGAATACTGGTATTAGATTTAGAAGACAAATGACTAAAAGGCTGTTATGATTGCTGCCTGAATATTATAAAATATCCTCCAAATATTGACATATACGATATAAAGCAACAGGAAAAATTCAAACTCCTGGTTATAAATTTATACCATTTTCTAAAATAATCAGATATAAAAGTATCAAGAAATACATTTAAGGCCCACATAAAATATCTAAAACTTACCTGTTCAGCAAAAAAAGAGAATACAGTAAATATAATCAATGTTGCCAGGACAAAATGGGTCCAAAACTTCAATTTATCCCGATATGCCCTCCTGTTCAGAGAGAGAAAAGAGCAAACATGTACCCCCCTGCGTATGGTTTCACGGTCATTAGTGACAGTCATTCATATACTAGTTTTGCAAAAAATAACATTATGAAAAACAAAAATATTGTTTAGAGGCAATTCTAAAATGTTAATACAATATATATTTCCACCATCAACTCAGATTTTTCATTATATCACAATAAATTTTATACTCTCATTAGTGAAAGTTATCCAGGGAACAGAGAGGACCACAAAAGAAAATTACTGCTAGCATTTAGGCAAAACCACTCTTCCACTCATTTTTATTTATTCACTCATATTTATTCATTCACTCAGTCACCCAATAAACATTGTGGATACAGAGAGAAGAACAAGATAACGTCTTTGTGCTCATGGTATTTACAAACCTGGGGAGTCCCTGCCATGCGGACAGCAACCATCAGACAAGATGGGCAGATACATATTACAAACAGCAAAGTCTTAGGGAAAAACGTGGAGAAATGAGGAAAGCCCCAGAGAGACAGTCACAATTCATGCAAGCCTTGAAGAGGAGAGAGAAATCACTTGGCGGAGGAAGGGAATGAGCAGTAGCAGAGAGTCAGAGTCCAAGGGGAGCCCTGCAAGGCTGAATCAAGTTTAGTACGTGGGCCACATGTGAGCGCTAAGTCATGGAAGGGCGGGAGAGCAGGAGTTGCGGTTGCTCTAGAAAACCAAGCAATGGGTTTTCTACTCTAGTGAGGAAGGGGGTAAATGGCAGAGTTGGGGTGGCACAACTGGGAAAAAAAATGGTAGCCACTGGTGAGAACAATGAAGAACAAAACTCAAAATAAAAAAAGACCAGGTTTAGTGGTCTGATGGAGCCGGGTGAGACCACTGAGACTATGGCCCCTAGTTACCCTTTAGGTCTGGAACTGAACTTATTCCTGTGGTTTCCAGCCAAACAATGGAAAGGCCTATGGGGTAAACATTTACATCAAGTAGAAACACTCCTTAGAAAGATCAATCATGGCAGAACACAAGGGCAGTATTTGCACAGGGAGGCAGCTCAGGGGGCAAGAATGCACAGAAAAGAAGGACACAGGGAAGAGGTAACTAATTGCAGGGGGGAAGTGGGAAGAGAGCTGTTAAAGACTGTGGGGAATCGCAGTCAATGTCATATAACAAAATATGTGTGAATTGCTCTATGGAAAATAAATTTGCTCTGTAAACTTTCACCCTACTCACAATTAAAAAAAAAAAAAAAATTGGCCATTAGAAGGATGGATGGAGAAGTGAGTCCAGCTAGTCCCCAAGTATGAGGAAAGAATGCTGGTCTGGACTAGGGGAGCGAGACTGAAAACAAGCAACAGATATATGCCGAGAGTAGAATCCACTGAGTTTGGAGGCTATAGGACAGTGGGGGAAAAGAAAGGTGGTATATCACAGTGTCCTCATCTATAATTTGGAAATAATGCGTAATTTGTTATAGAGATTAAAAAATGCTTAGCATGAGGCCTGGAAGATATGTAATAACAAGCAAATTCAGACCTCTGTGGTGAGTTCCAGATTGTCATTTACAACTGTTTGTTGTGGATACCTCGACCTCAAATCACATGTTCCAAATCATATGCATATTCTCCCACACATTGTCCTCCTGCATTTACTAACTCTGTTCACATGACCACAACCAGCTCAGTTGGCTCTGTTGTCTAAAGCATCATCCGGAGCCTATGTGCAATTTAAAGAGCTAGTGAGCCACAAGCTACTACAGCACTGCTAATGTGATGGCCCAGCAATCACAGAATCATAAAAACTGGAGGTGAACTGAGTTTCCCTCAGCCATGCATCCACTGAGCACCTACTATGTGCCAGGCAGGCACTGTGGACTCACAGTCTACTAAGAAAGACAAACAACCTTTAACACTACTGTACAGGGCAGGAAATAAGGAAAGAACAGAGTTCCATAGAACAGGAAGAAAGCTAATTTAGGAAACCAGGAAAAGACAACAGGGGACTCAAGAATGTAGTGTAGTGAGTCAAGAGAAAAGGGAAAGTTTCTAGAAAGTAGGATGGGGCTGCTAGGTCAGCAAGGGGAAAAGATTCTCTAGGAACTGGAGGCAGGGAGACAATTAATAGAAATAGTCAAGATGGGAACCAAGGATACAGCCCAGAGAATAAAGAGAAAGCAGAGATTTAAGAGAGGAAACTGGTAGAGCTTGGCAACTAGAACTCCTTGGTACCTTGGAGTTGGGTAAATGGCATGATTAGCATGTACACTGCTGATATCCATATGTTTTCATTTTTATAAGGAAAGTACTACTGAATCCAGAACATTCTATGCCCAATTCATCTTATTTGCACAACACAGAAATCAAAGTCCTCTCAAACTACTCCTGTGCAATTGGGCCCTTAAAGGTAAATGGAACCACAAACTGTATTTGGGGGAGATAATACTTGAAACATCTAAGGATGATTTTCCCCTTTGCTAAAGGAAAGTAAAGATGTCGAGAAGCTTTTCCTTGCTATTTCTGAAAGACAAAAAATGTTATCCCTTGGAGGACATTATGCTGAGTGAAATAAGTCAGTCACAAAAGGACAAATATTGTATTAGTCCGTTATTGTAAAAGTTAAGGAAAGGTTTATATGTTGGAGGACATTTTCTTTGTTGGTTACCAGGGGTGGGAGAGGAGGGGAGGGAACACTGTTAGATAGATAGAGATAAATATTGATTTGGGTGAAGAGAAGGGCAATGTACTAAATGTGAGTGACCAATATGGCAGCATTGAGGATGAGAAAGACATAGAGAGGTACATGGGCAGTACAGACAACAAATATGAACCCTTTTGCATATACAGTACTGAGTTGTCAGTGAAAGCAAACATGGGTATATGGACGGATAGATAGGTGAACAAGCTAAACAATTAGGTATGTCTAAATGGGGAGTGTATCCAAGATCATATATAGGGTTGGCAGACAATGGGCCTATAAGTTCATGGGAATGATCAGAATTCCCAGGTGTGTATAGTAGAGCTGACAAGGGGCAAGGTTATGGTCATTGCTTGGTCACAGCCAGCTACCCAGAGCGACCATGTAGTTGATCCTGCGGGCTTGGGACCATAGTCACAGGGGACATCAAGCTCAATTGGCATAACATACTATACAAAACACTGTTCCACCTCCTACTTTGGCGAGTAGTGACTGGGATCTCAAAAGCTAGCAAGCTGCCATCTAGATGCAACAATGGGTCTTTCCTCGTCAAGAAGAAAGAAGAAAACCAAAATTAATGGAAACAATCAGTCCTAGCGACTGGTACACCATCTGATCTGCAACCTATACAACTATGAGACCAGAAGAACTAGATGGTGCCCAGCTACCACTGTCATCCACATGGAAGGGATGTAGGAGTTCCTGCATAGAGAGGGAGAACAATGTGGAACAAAACTCAAAATCATTTGGAGGCAAAAAAAAAAAAAAAGAAGGTGAGGACCAGGTTTGCTGGTCCAATACAGCCTGGTGGAACCACTGAGACTATGGCCCCTAGCTGCCCTGCAGGTCTGGAATTGAACCCACACCTGTGGTTTCCAGCCAAACAAAATACAGGCATGTGAGTTAAACATTTACCTCAAGTAGACACACGCCCTGGAGAGAACAATCATGGGAGAAGGAAGGGCTGCTTAGGCACAGGGAGACAGCTCAGGGTGCAGAAGAGTATGGAGGGATGGACACTGGGAAGAGGTAACTATGGGGAGGAAGTGGGAGGGGAGCTGTTGCATTGTAAATTTTGGTCAATGACATGAGACAAAGTATATGTGAACTGCTGTATGAAAAGTGAATTTACTCTGTAAATCTTCACCCAAATCAAAATAAAATTAAAAAAAAAAAATGTTATCCCTACCTCTATGTCTTCCCTTGTCCTCATCCTTTCCAACTCTGAAATAATTTCTGTGTAATGCTATGGTGTATAAATTACTTAGTGTGGCTTTTCTACCCATAAGTCTTTGTAAACTCCAAGGTGGGATTTTCTATGAGCAACTGAGGAGCTCCTGATTGCTGAAGTTGTCCACCTGGAGTATTTCTGTTGGGAGTGGCACAAAACAATGTTCTGGGAGGTGCCCACTCTCTCTCAGGTGCTTAGAGTTCTGATGCTATGATTGGCTAGTTTGACCACCCTGCCGGGCTCAAAAGGAGGCCTCCTAGAGGCAGAACTCTCACTCTGACTGCTGGTTGAGGAAGACATGCTGCCAAAAGAGACACGCGCCCCTGAAAGAGACACATGCTGCTGGGAAAGAGACGCAAGAGACATGCATTGCTGAGTGAGACATCGAGGGACAGCACTGCTGGGAAAGAAACTGAGAGACTGTTTGTTGAGGGACAGTGGGCTTGGAGAGAGACTGAGCATTCTTCCTGAACTTGAGTGGTAGCCTGGTGCTTCCTAATAAACGCGATAATCCGTGAGTTCTGTGTGGCCACTGCAGCGAATTATCGAACCCAGAGGAGAGGTGGTGGGTGTTTTGGGAGGAACGGTTGGTGAAAGGGCTGGAGGGAGGCAGCATGTCTGGCCTGGCAGGAATAGGCCTTGCACTATTGATGGTGATTCTGCCTTCCTCTTGTGGGATTAGAGAAGGTCAGAACATGTGGCCTCCTTGCCATTTTAGCAAATACTTAACCAGATGCTAATCCTTCATTCATTGTCTATAAAGGTTTCTAGGTGGTTTTAAAGGCCAAACTGACGATCTGGTTGTCAGAGCTCTGAATAAAATGGTTCCCACTTTGTGTCCAAGCTTATCCTCCACTATTTCAGTGAGCGGGGCTAGTCCCTAAAACCTCCTGAACACTCTACCTCCAAACCTCTGTGGCATGCTGCCTTAACATTTTCTGAAAGTTCCTTCAGAATTTACTCAAATTTTTCCAGAAGCCAAAGCTTGTATCACAGCTAATATGTTACCCCAACAATCAAAGGATCTTATAATTGCTGGAGGTCACCAGAGCTTCCCTCAGTACCCATCCACTGAGCATCTACTACCTTGA